CTTTTAAATAATTACATCTTCGTGTAATTTGAAAGACTCTGAAACAACGTAAAGATAATCGGTTGTTAGTATTTTTACCACCTTGAAAAAGCTCACAGACATACTGTAGTTCAGCGTGTTGACAGTGAGCTGAGATGCATCTTTAATCAATTAATCAAACTTTGTTTATATTACATGTTACAACAGCGGTTACAAAAAAACAAGCCAGAGCAATGCAACATACGGTAACGGTACTTATATATAAACTGTGTCATAAACCGAAATATGCAATGTTCAAAACTTAAATATTTTATAAACTACAAAAGATGTTCTAAGAATATATGTGTTTGATTTGTACACCGCTAGAGGCCGTTCTTTTCACATACGTCCACTGTGCACAGCTTGTTGATGGCTCCATCTTGTGGCGAAACTTGCACTTCTGCCATTTAAATTTAATCTTTGCATTATTATCGTGCTTGATTTTGTGCTTAAGTGTACTAGCCTAACATAATATTTTTTTCTGGATAAATAAGGTCAGAATGTTTTCTGTAGGATATTTTTCTTAATAGAAAGTGGAAGCTGCACTAACCAAACAATAACCAAAAACCAAACACTAATCTAACCCAGGGCTGCATTTGAGCACACCTTTATTATGCTATGGGCTTATGTGCCCTATTGTTTTTAGGAATACACTAAAACTACCTGCTTTTCCACATGTAGACTTTTAATTTTGAAATACAATGTCATGCATATCCCCTTTGTGTATTTGTTTTGACTTCCATCAGATGTGCAACTTCCCTTCTACACACTTATATTATGTTTTTCCTGTATGTGTAGAATTTAATTCGTGTATTGGATTACATAGCAAAGTAATTATTAATTATATTAACTACAACTACCATCACTACTGCAGTAATGGTGTACTACATGACTAATAACAACAGCTATTGCTATTTCAACAAGCACTACTCTACCTCAGCCTCCTAAATCAGAAATACATTTTTTTTTTTTTCAGATCAGCACCCTCAAAATAACCATCCAAACAATTCCTTGGGATTCTCACAAACAACTTAAATAGATGCTGGTGGTAATGTCAAGTGGTAAAACATTTAAACTCAAATTAATCAGGAAATGTTTTATGACCTAAACCAATTTTTTTGTGTTTACAGTTTAGATCAAACTAAGCTTAACAATTCAGACAAATAAACCTACAAGGCTGTCATATCGAAACTGCACACTGTAGACTAACAGCAATGACAATGCATCTATTTTGTTAAATCTATGTTTAATCTCCCAGAAAAATGTCTTCCTTGCTCATAATTGTTTTTGCATTTTGGGTGGAGTTTTGTTGATGACATAGCAGGTATAGGTCATGAAAGTATAATAAGATAGATGTATTCAGTTTTAGAACTCAGCACTATGTCCTGTATTTTTGTACTTTTTTTTTTCCAAGTTTTTTTTTTTTCACATACTCTCATGTGCTTTTGTAAAATTAAGATATTATAATGTAATATTTACCACAGTAGCCTATCCCACCAAACCAAGGCATTAAGTACTGTGCTTAAGCTAAAATATTAAGTTTCTGTACTTTCCTTAAGTACATTCTAAAGTGGATACCCTTTACTTTTACTTTATTACATTTGAGAGAAGGAATCTGTATGTTTTTTTAAACTCCACAAGTATTTTTTTAATTATTGTTTGAGACTTGCTGAAAAGGCTGAGGGGTTTATTTATGACATATCTGTAGTTTGAGCAAACAAAAATGTACAAATAAAACAGCAAGGAAAATAACTTTATTATTTTTTAACTTAATTCAAAATTCAGCATAAATCTTTATCAAAACCACTATATTTGAAGCCTTATAAGACCTCAATATCTGCACAAAATTATTTTTCCTCTTTAAATACATCTTTAAACTGGCACTTTAATACTTTTACTTATGTAAATTCTTTCATGTGATACTTATACTTGTTTTGTTTTCCTCAGTATCTGTACTTGTACTTAAATAACAAAATTGAGTACTTCTTCCACCACTGCTGTTATATGCATTTTAAACAGTGAGATATGCCGAATAGTACATCTCGTCTCAGATAGTGATGTTTGAGTTTTGTCTGTCTGCTGATGTGGCACTGACGAAGGAAGTCACAGGTCCTTGTGTTAAACCACTGCTCAAACAGACAGAAGGGCTCCATTAGCATGAACATTAATGTTCCTCACAATGCACATGCAGAAGAACAGTAAATACGCAGACAGTGGTTGTCAACAAACACTCATCAACAATGCAGTAAAATGTAGGTATTGTAGATTAGATCACTCCAGGTTTAAGCTACTGAGTATTTCACAGATACTATACAGACAACACTTTACTCTTATTTTACTTTTAATTTTACTTTTTATTTTTTAAAGTACAATATCTGGAAAATATCTAAACATCTAGGACTGGGCTTTGTGTGGGACTGTTCTCTCACGCAGCATATTACCTAACCAAGTAACAGTAACAGTAATGGTGAAGTTGCAGCAGTGTTTTGTGTGTAAACAGTCAAACAATGAAATGCTTTCTATTTAAATAGATTACTTTAATCCATGTAACAATTTTATCAAACAGTAATTCAAATCCATACAATCCATTTAAATTATATAATCATTGTTTTTTTTGTTTGTTTTTTTTTTTGTTTTTTTTCCAAAACAGACAATTATTTTAGTTGCTTGTTTTTGGTTTTTTTTGCACTGAAAAACGTGTGTTCTTACTCTAAATAGGCTTGCATCTTCGTAACCCTGACTCTTATTTGCCCCCCTGTTGTTTTCATTGAGATGTTGTTCCCATATACTGTATAAAGAAGAGGACTAAGAGTGCAATATCACCCATAGTGTCCGGCTCCAGTCAAATGAAGCTCATGATGCTTGCGGTTATAGGAGCAATGTGGAGCCGAGTTTCATATTAGGAATAGGAATTTATTTACAGACAAAATAGACAAAAAACACTTGGAATATGTAGAGTGGATTAGTACGAATATTTTAAGTTCAAAAGAACAGGGCTCACTGCAGCAGTTACAGAGAAATGGGTGACAATTTTTCAAAGTAAAGTCAATTGGAGCCAGAGTCAGTGGAGCCTGAAGCACCCCCATGCTCACTTCCTATTTGGAATGCAGCAGCTAGTGGATTAGTTATGTCCATTTATCTATACAGTCTATGGTTGTTCCTTTGGCCATTATCTTCCAGTATGCTATAACATACCTCCAAGTAGATTGTTCTGAAATATAGATTTCTTTTTATTTGCATAGAATCGTGCAGATGACCTCTGGAAAGTTGTAACTTTAACAAATAATACTGAAATAGAAAAGGGTCTCATAATATATTTAAGCTGCGTCAACATATACACTTTTTGACTGTTGAATAATATTTAGAAGTAGGTCTAGTCATATTTTAAGAATCAAATGATGTGATGATGTGGTGCTACTTCCTGTGAGTCATTCTACCAACACCAGAACAAAACTTCAACTGAACACTAGTCTTCAGCACCATTCTCCTTTATTATGTTTAATATAAGCCCACGTCATGTTCAGGCTTCCACTAATTGAATGTCCTGATGCACTAGAACAGTGTTGTCATGGAAATGGCAGCAAATTGATCTGAAATATAGGGAAAGATAAAACCTGGACAAGCCACAATGCTTTTAATTCAGGTAGTCCTATAAGCAGTACACAAGCTTCAATTTGTACAAGTCACAAACAATATTCAAATAGCTATTTTAAAACACTTAGATGGATTGTTCTACCCTGCTATGACATTAATATTGTTGTTGTATAGGCTATAAAATTATAATGACAGCATATCATTTCCAGATAGGCCTATATAGCAAGTGGCATATGCTGTGTTATTGTTTTGGTAAAATTACACAAAACGCTGTAACAAAGTTTTAGAGTACGCTTTGATTGATTTCCATGATCAATAGTAGCCCCCCCCCCATGCATTTCTATACCTTTTTTATTGACAAATGTTTGCGTCATCTTTTCAGCATCTAGGAAAGACTAATCTATTATTGTAATGGTCTGTCTGAATGAGCTTGGTTGGAATTGGTGAAAGCATGCAGCAGCCCATGTTCAGTTTTGTAATTACCTCCGCCAAGGAGGTTATGTTTTTGCCGGCATTTGTCTGTTTGTTTGTTTGTTTGTTTGTCTGTTTGTTTGTTTGCCTGTTAGCAACATAACTCAAAAAGTTATTTACCAATTTTGATGAAATTTTCAGGATTTGTTGGAAATGTGAAAAGGAAGAACTGATTTCATTTTGGGGGTGATCCAGAAGAAATCCTGGATTCTGGATCACTTTGAAATTTTAGTTAACATTGTGGTAAATGGGGCCAAAAATTTTGTTTCTCAATATCTCGGTTAATTATTGACCAAACCCCATTCAATTTGACTCAGGGATGG